TATAATTTTAAAAGTAATCGAAATTTAATCACTTTTGATGTAAAGATAAATCTGAACGAAAATACTGTTCAAAATCCGAAAAATACTCTAGCATAATATACTGGAATTCCAGTATAATATACCAGAGTTCCAGTATAATATACCGGTCCAGCATAATATGCTGGAAGTTTATACACATGTGCTCCAATCTCCAGTATATTATGCTGGAACTTTGCGCATGTTGGAGTTCTAGCATAACATGCTGGAAGTTCATACACAGGTACACCGTTCTCCAGTATATTATGCTGTAACTTTGCGTGTTGCAGCAAAATAGTGGCTTTTTTCAATGACTTTGCAAATGCTGGCTATTTTTCAATGACCAGTCCGAATCTGGCTAGCCCGTACTATTTTTACTTCCAATTCTTATTTCTTTGGCCCACAACATTATGAGCCTTGGTTGTTGTATAGCAAACCCCTCGATGAAATCTTCCGTAAATATTTTACGGGACACACTATTTATTCGTCCCCATTTAACTTATATCCACTTTTTAAAGAGAAGTTTAACTAGTATTCTGAGTATAGACAACTTTAGACCTCCTCCTCCTCCTCCTCCTCCTCCTCCTTCTTCTTCTTCTTCTTCTTCTTAGTTGCCGTGAAAACAAAGATGAGAGTGCATTTACATAGTATTTGCGAGCAGATTTTAAGATGGTTTATGTTACTTCAGTAGTGAGTTATTGTGGCACTCCTCTCTTTGCTACTGCTTAGGGTTTCTTCTTCCTCTTAATTACAAAATGGGTCTGTTAGATTTGTTGTTGACAAATTGATAAGTGATGTTTGTTTTTTATGCTATTTGAAAGTTGCGTTTCAAACTCGAGCTTATTTGGATTAGATTTGGGTACTGAATCGTGTGCTACATTGTTGAAATTCGAACAACAAATTTCTTTTTCTGAGCAATTTGCACTTCAAACTAAAAAGTCTAAGTGCATGCAAAAAGTAGTTGCACTTCAATCCAATTAAGTCTCAAGTGAATCTTAAATGTAACTTTTGCGCTTCAAAATAAATTTGCTGCACGTCAAACTAAAATAGTCTTGCGTGCATCTTAAGTTTGCAACTTCAGACGCAACTTTTTTTCAACTTCAGGCAGTTGATCCTAAAACGGATAAACTTATAATTTTTTTATGCAATATGAGTACAAATTCAATAGTAATCCTAAAACTAGGTATATATATAAATCTCCCAAATTTTCCAAGTTGTGCCTTTTTGTAGGGTGATTTGCAAAAAAAAAGTAGGTGATTTTGAACATTTGACCCTGCTTGCATAAATTGCAAACCTTTAAGTTTAAAAAGTTTTGCCCTACGGGCGAAAATATTTCACTTCTAACTTTGAAGGTTTGTCATGTGGCAATCGGGGAACAAAAATTCTAAGACCACCCCTCACCTTATGGTGTTATATTTCTGTATTTTTTCTTTGTTGTATCAATTGTTTAGTAAATGACATTCATTTTATTTCTTTTACAACTGGTGAACCTTTCAGACCTCGGTCTAAAGATCCCTTTTGGGATAGCTGAAGATTTGGATGATCCAAAGTTTTCACACTACAAATACTGGTCAAATCCATTGGAAACTAAGTGAGCACTTCCACTTGCACTTCTGTCTCCATATTATTTTAGTCCATAGTCTTTGTACAGAGGATGCCTCTTGTTACTTGATATTTCACAGGTAGAAAATGGTTCTCCATTTTTCTTTACATGGTGGAAAAGAGATCTTTCCTTGTCTAAAATCTCTTGAGTTGAATGTATGTCGATCATATTATGCGCACTTTTTTCCCACCACTTTTGCTAATTAGTTTCAGCTGCAGTTGCATAGACCTGATATCCAAAAAACTATACATGTTAATCGGGCCGGGCTGACCCGTTTTACAGCCCGCTTCAACCCGGGTCAGCTGGTTCAGCTCGCTACGGTAGCATATAGGGTGGGCTGGGACGGGTTGGACGGGTAGTGGGTTTTAGACAAACACATTTTGGATACAGGTGCACCGGAACCCGCTAACCTGTTAACGGGCTGCAGCCTGTTAATGGGTTAAAATTTTTTTTTTTAATTTGTGTACCGTTGCTAACAAAATTTAATTTAAAAAATTTTAGCACAACCCGGCCCGGCCTGTTAAGCACGAACCCGTACGGGCCCAATAAAACCCGCAAAAACACAACCCGCTAACAGCCCGGAACGATAACCGTATGGGCTGTGTTTTTTTTTTTGGTACAGCCCGTCCCAGCCCGCCCGTTAAACACCTATAAGAAAAACCAAAAAAATAAGACTGTTGCTTGATGCTGGAAGATTAGCAATTAAGAAACCAATTAACAACAGTGAAGTAAAATAGATTGTTAAGTGCAACATTGTCTAAAATTGGATGAATTGCACTTTGGCTACAGTACTCATTTCGAGGGGATAACAACAATTTGGTTGCAAAGTAAACCAGTCCCTTGGGTGCAAGTTGACTCTTTTCTCCAAAACTAGAACCAAGACAGCACATTTCTTCAGATGAATGTAGCAATTAAAGTTATATGCCAACAAATTATCATATTCACCCTTTCCGTCGTTGTTTCAAATACTAGAACAATGGATATTTTTTCTGTAGGAATAAGTATATGCCAGCGTATAAATGCATCTAACTAGGCATAAGTTCAACTCGTCAATACAAACTAAATTGCTCTCAATTGGGCGTCTTAAGTGGTTAACAAAATACTTCAGCACACAATCACACATCAAAATGCAAAGACATATGAGGACTGCACAATTAATTGAAAGTAAAACAGACAGAGTTACCTTGAAAAGATGCAAACTTTTCGTGGGGGCATAATGAGAAGAGTAGGCAACGTGAAAAGATGCAATCTTTTGTCCCATGAGCTAATTAGTAGCTTTACATTCTGTTTGGATCATTGTTCCCTATCGTTTTATAATGTATTGTATCGTATTGTACCGTATCATTTTATTAATATAATGTTTGGATAGATTGTATTGTTTGTTATTGTTAAATAATATTTTGTTGTTTGGTTTGGCTGTATCGTACCGTACTGTAACTGATAAGTCTACTAAAATACCCTCAATTATTTAAATATTAAATTTATCAAAAATTATGTATAAAAATAATTTGAAAAAATAAAACAGAAGAAGACAAAACATCTTAAGAAAGTAGAACAAAGGAGCGAGATAGAAGAAGGCAAAACAAAGGAGCACAACTAATTAGAATTGAGTTAAAACCAAATTAGGAGAAAAAATAAAACAGAAGACGGCAAACACCTTTAGCATTGGTCTGGAAAAAACAAAGTAGGTTATAGGTAAAAAGATAAAGGGTAAAATAGAATTGTGGAGTAATAAGTTAATACATAATTGGAAAGAAAAATAGGAAACAATCCCACCACACCAAATCGGTTGTTTCAAAAAATGGGACTTTTCATTGTTCCGGAACAATGAATTTAACAATACAATACAACCAGTTTTAATGAAACAATCAAAACAAACATTGTTTTGGGATAACAATACATTACGATACCACGAGGAGCAACCATTCAAACAAGCTGTAAATGGGCAGATGAGAGTATGTGTGGGTTGAAGGAAGAGCAAATTTTATGTAATCATTTATACCCCTTACTTTACTTTTAAAAATTAATTCCGCTTTGCTTTGAAAATTTAAAATTTTCTCCTCTAATATGTCCTACTTTCCTTTTTAACATGTTTTAAAGAGTATTTTTTCCCCTATATGTAGTAACTCTTTAATTCTAAAATGGCGAAATGGCTTTTTGACCACTTAAACTTGTCGGGTTTTTTAAAGCCGATACATAAACTTTCTATTTTCCCATTTGAACACTCGAACTCGTTTTTTTCGTGACTAATAAACACATCTGACAAGAGACCATGTGCGCGTGTATTACACATACACATACGTGTCCATCCAGTCAGCAAATGACCAATGGATGTCTTACACGTCAAGGGCGCGAAAACCCTAACCCTGGTCCCTCTTTAATTCCGTAGACCTCCCTCCCCCCACCCCCCCTCATTTTAACCTCTCTCTAACGAAACCTTCCCCTGTTCATTCCAGAATTTTGATGATCCAATTACATAGCCTATTAACACTGAATGCCATTTCTGGCATTGTTCTTCAACTTCCTTCTTGACTAATTAAACTGTCTTCCCTCCGTCTTTCATAATCGGAGAAAAATAGTCAAGCTTCAACCCTAATTGCTGAGATCTGTTACCTTTGACAACTTTAGCCGCCGTAGGTTTAAGATTTTCTTACTTGTCTTAAACTTCATACCTAGTCAAACTAAGACACATACAAAATGAAATGGAGGAAGTAATTTTTACTTACTGTTTGAACCTTTTTAATTATTTAAAGAATTCCATAAATTCCCTTTGTATTAATGTTAAGAACACAACAGCATTTCCATTAAGAAAAATCTGTTTTTATTAGAATAATTTATCAATCAAATATTTCCTTGTATGACGATACAATGAAGTAAATAAATCTCTATTTATTGTTTCTTTTTAATTCATTATTTAATCTTTTTAAATTAATTGCAAAATTTCATTATTTCATTTGTGTAGTGATGTTAGGAGTGCAATAACCATTGAATTAATATATAAAAAAAAGTTTATTATCAATTATAGATAAATAGATGTAACTTCTCATATAAAAAAAAAAAGTGTGAGGGAGCAAAAGGGTGTAAAATAAAACCTTAGTAAGAAAAGTGTCAAAAATATGAAATATAAAGGAGTTCTTGCAAATGTTGGGTTTGTGTTCTTTTTTTTTAATATGTGTCTTTGTCTTTATACATCCATTCCTACCAATCCTTTTCCTTTTGGAATTTGGTTTTTACGTTCCTTTTCCTTTTAAAGTTTTCTAAATAAATCCGTTCATAAGTTGGTTTAGGAGAAGAGAATAACAGACACAATTATAAATATTTTCATTATTCTGTGTCAGGCTTAGATTTTATAAGGAGGGGTGAATAAAATTGGTTGGGATCGATGGAAGGGAGAAGCGATGTGGACCGAATTTCCAAATTGCCAGAGCCAATTTTGCAGCATATCTTGTCTTTCCTTGTTGCTAAAGATGGCGCTCGAATGAGTACAATGTCCAAGGTATGGGATAGTGCTTGGAATTCACTCTCCTACTTAAATTTTGGTGATAAATTCCTTAACTCAGAAGACATGCCAAGGCTCGTGAATGTTGTGAATCAATCTCTAGCAAACAGGCAAAAGCACAAGCTTTCCATGCAAAAATTCTCTCTAGGATTACTACATCATCGTTGGCTTTGTTATGTCGATGATTGGATTAAGATACTCATAGCTTGTAATATCAAAGAGTTAGAATCTAAGAGTAAGCAGACCTATTTATGAAGGCAAACTCGAATACAACAGCTTGCCCGACGCAATCTTTGCTGCTAAAGCACTAAATGTGCTGCGTTTGGATGGATTTAATATTGAATTGCCTTGTGATTGTATAAAGTTTTCATCTTTGCGAGAGTTGCGCCTCTCTGACGTATTTTTGAACGAGGAATTTATTCAGTCTCTGTGCACAAACTGCTGCAATTTAGAGGATTTGTATTTGCAGAACTTTGATGGACTTACCAGTTTTCGAGTTGGTAATACTTCTTTACCTAAAATGAAAAAGGTAAACTTGGAATTTTGCCCTTTTGTATTCCAATTGGTTGATATTGCAGCAATTAATCTTGAAGATCTACAGCCTTTATGGGAATCTAAAGGTAGTTAAAATAACTGCTTGCAAAGCCCTCAAGACGTTGTACCTCAATCGCGTTGCTGTCACTGATGAATGGTTAGAGAGCCTTTTTTCCAGTCTACCCGACCTTGAAATCTTTAAATTATTCAGTTGCGAGACATTGAAGAACATGAAGATCACGAGTGATAGGCTCAAATGGCTGAGGGCCTCAGGGTGTCATAATCTGATTGCTGTTGAATTGGACACTCCGAATTTAATAAAGTTCCAATATAATTGTCATCCATTGTCAACATTCAAATTGAAAGCTTCAGTTTTGCTGGAAGCCACTTTTTGCTTGTCCCCAGAAGCCGACGACAATCATTGGCACTCTAAGCTCACGAAATTTCTTGCTAACTTCAATCATTCCAAGGCTATTGAATTGTCATGCCACTGCGACAGGGTAATGTGTCCTAGAAATTCTCTAGCTAGCTACACTGCTTGAAGAAGCAGTTTGTTTTGTGTTTCTTATAAATTGTTTTTTGTTTTTTTTTGGATGCAGGCAATAGTTATACCAAAAGACCTGAGAGAAAACTTCCTTCCTCCCCTTTATGGTACTAATATATTGCAAGTAAACCTTCAGAATCAATCGAACTATTCAGTTGTCGACATTATTGATAGCATGCTTTGGATTTCTCCTCACCTGGGCACCCTATCTTTTATTATCCGAGCTCCTGGCGTAAAGACCCTCAAGGTAATACTTTATCCTTTAAAGGCACTGAGTTGATAAAAGATTGAAAAAAGTTAGTTGTTACTCCAATAAGGTTTTCTTGCACCTTTATTATTATGTACGTTTTTTGCAACTTTTTCCGGTCTTTACATGCCTTCTGATTCTTTGTTTAGTGACAACACCCCTCGTAATTGGTTTTGCTACCAATTAATGCGAAACTGTAACTTCCTGCAAGGTCAGTTGAAGCCCTGTATAAGAAGGGGTGAGGTTCAAAATTGTTATGAGACCATTAAAAGTTGATATTATAAATATTTGTTGCCCCAAACTATTTGGAAACATTGTTTTATTGACTGGTTATTGGGTTTTGGTTTCTCTCGCTTATCTGTGATTATTAAGACAAAATGTTGGCATTGGATAAATCAATAGTTATATGCAGTGAGTCAACTTCAACAGGAAATAGTGTAAAACCAAGGAATACAGGCATTAAAGATTCTATATAATTGACATTTGCTCCTCTTACCTTCTTATTGTTTTGATCCTACTGGATTGGATGAAGCCTCCCCTTTCGCCGTGACTGTTTCCTCCGCCCTAGGGCTGGGGTGGTTTAATTTGGCTCCAGCCGTGCATGTACAAATTGCAGCAAAACTCTATTTTGCTATTTGACTGGTCGAGGAGCTTATAGTCTTAAGAAAAAAGAAATTTCCTACTAACACTCCCCAGGCCCAGCTATTGGTAGTCCTCCGTGTGCGCCTCCCCACAAAAAAGGTCACCACCTTTTATTTGTCTTCCACTGGCTATTCCAGTGATTTGTGAACCTTATCTTCCTTCACCCTCTGTTGCTTCCTTAATTACTTTGTTCATTTTATTCTTTGGCCATTAGAAAGCACCCATTCGTTGTACTCAATGAGATGATTTCTTCATTCAGATAATGCTTAAGATTGATTTCGAGGAGCTCATAGGCTAACACCAATGGGTGTTTTAAACCTTTCTAGTTCATGATTGATTCTTTATCAAGTTAGTTTCTTTACCTTTGTTCTTATTGTTCATAGTCTATACTTACCGATTTGCCTCGTTTGACAGTTTATATATGAAGATGCGTCGGATAATGATGAGAAGCCTTGTTGTGCGTCTCTACCATGGAAATGTTGGAGGCAAAACTTCACGTGTATGGAGCAACAGGAGTTGAGAAACTACTTTTTCGCAAATGCAGATATCTCGGAGATGATTGTGATTCCCCAATACTGCAGCCTTTGAGTCAAATATTTCATCACTTAGAGCCTGTTTGGATTGGCTTAAAAGCTGGTCAAACCAACTTTTAAGCCATTTTTAGATGTTGGAAGTGTTTGGCAAAAAAGAAAACAGCTTAAAAAAAGCCAAAAGCCACAAGTTGGCTCATCCCAACTTTTTTTTCCAGCTTAAAAGCCAACTATCTTTGACCAAGTATTTTACCCTCTTGTCCCTAATAATATTTAGTATTCCAAAAATGTCCTTCACAAACTTTTGAAATAATTATAATATCCCACTCAAACTTTTAAAATTTGTCAGAACGTGAACTTTGAAGTTTAACTTTGCTTTGAAAGGTGAATACGACATTTACCTAATGAAGTTTTCTTACTAAATAACTAAAATATGAGATAGGAAATAGGACTCCTAAACCTAAAAAGAAGGAAAAATAGTCCTAAATATTAGTATAAAAATGATTAAACATTTATTTATATAATAATCATCTGTAAATCTTTATAAAAAAAATTATAAATTAATAAAACTGATATACATGCGAAGTCATAACAGACGAAGCTTGCTAAACATACTTAACTTTAAAATCTCTTACATAGATTGTAGTATTGTACTTGTGTTTGATCTTTTTTCCTAAGAATTTAAACTCGGGTGCGACCAACAATTCTAGTTGCATTGTAATTTCTAATTAACTATACGTACAATTTTCAAATAATTTTAAAAAGTACAAGTTTATTTTATTTTGATTTCCTAAATATTAGGAATTTTTACATAGTTCAAATAAGGAATAGAATAATAAAATGTGATAGTTATTTCATATGTTTTCCCAGTAAGCTTGGAATATCAAGAAATAAATAAAAAATTTACATGGTTGAAAGAAGTGAAAAGTAAGAGTTCAACAATTATATTTATAATGGTACTTTTATCAATCTGATTTATTTCGTACCTTTCGTTCAATGAGAAAATGGGTCAAATTCTACAGGATCAAACCTATGGGGCTTAAGGAATGATATAAAATTATCTTAGGTGATCAGTTCAAATATTAATTATTTCGTATTTATATTAATAAGTTTGAAATAAAATATTATAGTAATAAGCTTCTTTATAGTGTTAACAGCTTTAAGGATATTTCAGTCATTTTAATAGAAAAAGTGCTTACCAACACTTGTTTACCAAACATTTCAACAGCTTTTTTTCAGCTCCACCACTTTTATCCAAACACATAACTGCTTATTTATAAAACCAGCTCCAGCACTTTTTGCTTAAAAGCTACTTTTTTTAAGCCAATCCAAACGGGCTCTTATTGTACTTTAAATAAAAGTTTTCATGGTTTCTTCTGTGATGTTGTGTTTAATCATTAATCTTTCACAATTAATTATAGGGATGTTTTGAATAAATTTGTTCATGTCGGATGATGTAGTAGCAACATGTATGTAATAAGTTCTTTAAGTTTCAAACGTATATATCCAAGAAGCAAGAGCATTCTCCAATGTAAGGTAGTATTGAGAAGAGGGGGTTTTAGTGGAGGATGGCCTAATGGCCTACGTCTTTTATAATTGAACGTCATCTGTCTCTGCGATAAAAAATATGGTGTTGATTTTATAGCTATTTAAATAATAAGAAGCAGAATTCATCTGGATAGATTTAACTATAGACAACAGTAAAACTGCTCAAAATGCCAAGCGTAAGAAGCAGAATTCATAGCTGTCAGATTTAACTAGTTTTTACTGTTCAAAATCAACAATATGCTAAGCGTAAGAAGCAGAATTCATAGCTGTCAGATTTAACTAGTGAAAGTTTTTTCTGTTCAAAATCAACAATATGTCATGCTCCCTTTCTATCTCTGCAAATTCATAGCTGTCAGATTGAAGAGTGAAGACTATGTACTGTTGGACAAAATGAACCTCCCTGCTCCCTTTCTATCTCTGCAAGATGATAAGATGATTTGAATTAGTTTTTACTTCCATGAAACTATCCCTTTAGGGAAATAGAAAACCTCAAGTACAAAATACAACACTTGTATATGAGCAGCCACACTTTTGTATATTTTTGCTGTGCATCTTCTTCTTGATGCCATTTAATGAAATTATCTTACTTCAAAAAGTACAAAATAAACACTAATTACATCCACAGTACATGAGAGTGATAAAATGAAGCAGATTAGTTTTTAATTTCAAGAAAGAAAGATAAAGTGATTTCTGAAATTAGGAGAAATTCATTTTTGGTTGTTTTGGTTAATGAAGTCCGGAGAAACTAATGGGAACAAGCAACTATTTGACAAGAAAACCATGACTAAGAACATCATGTCACGCACCATATCTGCAGCTTCAGAGGCTTTAATTCCAATTAGAAAGAAAATTTTGGGTGAAAGGAAAGAAATTTCCAGTTCTTGTGAAATCCATCCTCACAGCCTCAAATCTTGGATCTAAAACCAGTTCACTAGATTCAATGCTATGTGACAATAATGTACACCGGGTATTAAAGGGAATTAATAGAAAATCAGGGGTATCTTAGCAAATATCACTAGCTGGCAGTTAGAGGTTGTTAGAAAGTTGTTATAGTGGTTACAACAGTTAGGTGTTCGAGAGGGATTAAAAACTACTTAAAGGAGAACAACTCCGATTCTAAGGCATTGAAAAAGAAATAATAATACTCTCTCTCTTTCTACCGTCTAGACTATGGGTGTTTAATGGATGGGCCGGGCCGGGCTGGATAGGGAAATTTAGTATCCGTACGGGTTATGGTCTGGGCCGGTTACGGGTTGGGACATACCAGGTTTAACGGGTTCGGGTTCATCCGGGTAAAAATTGAACCGTAAGAGTTACGGGTTCATGGGGACGGGTTAATGTTATTTTTTTTTTTTTTTTTTTTTTTTTTTNATTTTTTTTTTTTTGTTTTTTGATTTTGTATAACTATTGTAAGTTATAATAATATAAAGTAAAAATATAAAGAATACAATGAAGATGGGAAAAAATTGCACTTATAAATTGCAAGTGCTACATTTATTTCAAAATTCAAACTTACAAATTGAAAGGTTTACATTTAACAAGAAGTAAATTAACCAAAAAAGAGTAAATTCAAAGGTTTTGCATTGCTTTCATAAGTTCTGCATAATAAATATGAACTGAGTGACCTTCTTCTGGAGTGTTAAATTCGGATGGGTTAATAGAAAATATCACTAGCTGGCAGTTAGAGGTTGTTAGAATTCATTTTCTTCCATCCTGGGAATTCATTTTCTTCACTGAAAAAAATCCGTTATTGGAAAAAATAGTCAAAATTGAGAGCAGTTGGAACAAACATCCTAAAGGTATGATCAAATTAAATTGTGATGGTGCTTTTTTAGTAACAATAATGCAGCCGGGCTTGGTGGAGCATTCCGAACTAGTAAAGGAGATTGGATTGTGGGATACCACAAAACAAGCCAAGCAATTTCTTCTACTCAAGCAGAGCTGTTGGCATTGCTAGAAGGACTAAAAATTGCAAAAGAAATGAACTTCCTAAATCTGGAAATTGAAACTGATTGTACGAATATCATCAAACTTATTTATGAGGATAGCTCTAACTTCTCTAATATTATATCTGAATGCAGATGGTTAATGCACCAATTGAAGCTCCCACACTTGAAGCATAATTTTAGGGAAGGAAATGAGGTGGCATTACTGGCCAAGCAAGCTATCAAGAACCCACCATCATCAACGTGTTTTTACCACGCATGTCCACCCTTTTTTGTCGAACAAGAAGTGATCAAGAACAAGCATGGAGTTTGTAATAGTGCTAGGAGTATTTCTACAAATATTTGTAACTATTTGTCCACTATGGGCAACAGTAATGCCCTAAAAACATCTACTATGCCTATATAGTTTTTTATTCTGTTATAAATAATATAATATATTCATGTGCTGTGTTAAAAAAAAAACGTGAATGAAGTAGCTAGCTCAGTTTGCAGCCATATGGTATTATTATGTTTAAATATCTTTAATGAATCCAAAGTTCTGAAATTAGACTAAAATTGCACGGGACAACGGGGTAAGGAGAACAAAGTTGAGTTTCCTTTATGGGATATAGTATACTTTTTGTCCCCTAAAATAGAGCTATGCCAAGAGTTGGCCTGTAATCTAAATGCTTTACTTTTGCCCACAGCACAACAAAAAAGTATTACTTGTTTGTTTAGTTCTTATTAGAGCCATCATATACAATGCTATAGGCCTCATTTATCAAATAAACAGATACTCCATTAATAAACAAAGACAAGTGGCGCTCTTTGCTTGAGAACTGCGTATAATTCCTTCACGAAGCCTCAAAGCAAACACCTAAAGGCTAGACTGAGACTTTCATTTGTAAGTTGCGTACACTACAAGCACCTAAATCTTATTGCTTCTCTTGTGCCTTAAACTTATTTCTTGGTATGAAAGTTCTTCTCCCTGCGCCTAACTTTTCTCTTTAACTAGGAGAATTGCAACCAAAAAAGTTATACTTTTATTCCCATGCCAATAGGAGTAATTAATCAGTTAACCATGCTTATATGATATCTTTCAGCAACAAACTGGTAACTCCTCACAATTCTTATTTCTTCGGCCCACAACATTGTGGGCCTTGGCAGCAATAGAGAAGGGGAAGTGCACGGTTAGCCAGTAATAACACATGTATTTACTTTTAAGCCACTGTTTAAAATGTCTTTAGTCTTTAGCCACTGCTTTAAAAACTTTACCTGCCCGGACGAAAACACCCTTCTGCTCACAAAGTTCAAGACCAAGTGTCCTTAACTTTTGAACTTGCAACTCTAAGTTCAGGACTTCATACTACACGTCCTTAACTTTTGAACTTGCAACTCTAAGTTCAGGACTTCGTTCAGGACTTCAGGACTACATGTCCTTAACTTTTGAACTTGAAACTCGAAGTTCAGGACGACCTGTCCTTAATTTCTGTGCTTGTAACTCTAAGTTAAGGACTACTTGTCCTTAACCTTTGAACTTGTAAGTCTAAGTTCAAGACCTATTGTCCCTAACTTTTGAGCTTGTTAGTCTAAATTCAGGACCAAGTGTCCTTAACATTTGAACTTGTAACTGTAAGTTCAGGACCAAGTGTCCTTAACTTTTGAGCTTGTTAGTCTAAGTTCAGGACCTATTGTCCTTAACTTTTGAGATTGTTAGTCTAAGTTCAGGGCCTATTGTCCTTAACTTTTGGGCTTCTTAGCCTACGTTCAGGACCTATTGTCCTTAACTTTTGAGCTTGTTAGTCTAAGTTCAGGACTTCAGGACCTATTGTCCTTAACTTTTGAACTTGTAACAGTAAGTTCAGGACCTATTATTGTGACGACCCAAAGGGTCATCACCTGTTTTTAATTGAATTCTATTACTCCGAGGCCTTGAAAACCTCATTTAGAGTCGTATCGATTTGCGTGCGTAGTCCGGGCGTGTAGCCGGAAAGCTTAAATATGAAATTCTGTGAAAAATGCCAAGTTTTGACGTTAAAATGAATAAATTTGACCTTGGTCAACGTTTTGGGTAAACGATCCGGACCCATGATTTGACGGTCCCGCAGGGTCCGTAGGAAAATATGGGACTTGGGCGTATGCCCGGAATCGAATTCCGAGGTCCCAAGCCCGAGAAATGAATTTTTTTGTAAAATTATTTTCTGAAATTGTTTATGGAAATTTGAAATGAAAATTAATTAGAACGTGTTGGTACCGGGCCCGTATTTTGGTTCCGGCACCCGGTACAGGTCTTATATATGGTTTAAGTCATTCCTGTGAAATTTGGTTGAAAACGGACGTCGTTTGACGTGATTCGGGCCTAAATTGGAAAATTTGATGTTTTATGAAGTTTGAAAAAATTCTATGATTTTGAGGTTTAATTCGATGTTTATGATGTTATTTTGGCGATTTGGTCGCATGAGTAAGTCCGTAGGATATTTTGAGGTTGTGTGTATAATTTGTTTAAAGCCCTGAGGGCTCGGGTGAGTTTTGGATAGGCCACGAGTGCATTTTTTTGAACTTTGAAAAAAATCTGGTATTCCTGTTCTGCAGTTTTCGCATTTGCGAAGCAGGTCTCGCAAATGCGAGAAGGGAATTTTTGCAGCCTGATCGCAAATGCGACCAAATGGTCCGCAAATGCGAAACAGGGCCTGTCGCAAATGCGACATTTTCGATCGCAAATGCGAAGCCCTCAATTTGTACAGTGTTCGCAAATGCGAACATCACTTCGCAATTCCCACATCTGAGAGGTCAGGGTTCGCAATTGCGAACCCCTGTTTGCATTTCCCATATCAGAGACCTGCAATTTTCTATACTTAGCCGATTTTTAAGTAATTTTCACACCATTTTCAAAACACAACTCCTTTAGGCGATTTTTCCTAGAACAATCTTCTTTCAAATCAATTGTAAGTTAGTTTTTACTCATTTCTTTCAATCATTTACATCTTTTAACATGATTTCAACCTAAAATCAAAGATTTTTATGGGGGAAATTGGGTGTTTTGGGTAGAACCTAGGTTTTTCAAAAATTGGGGATTCAGACCTCGATTTGAGGTCCGATTTCAAAACAAATTATATATTTGAGTTCGTGAGGGAATGGGTAATCGGATTTTTGTTCGAACCTCGGGTTTTGACCACGTGGGCCCGGGGGCGATTTTTGACTTTTTGGGTAAAACTTTGGAAAACTCATTTTCATGCATTGGGGTTGATTCATTTAGCAGTTGTTGATGTAATTAAGTAATTTGTGATTAGATACGAGCGAATTGGCGGTGGAATCAAGGGGTAAAGCTATAATTGAGACTTGAGTTGTGTTCAAGGGATCGAGGTAAGTGCTTGGTCTAACCTTAGCTTGAGGGATTAGGAGATGAGTCCTGTCACACCTCCTTTTTCTTACTACACCCCCGGAAGAGGTATAATAAAGGGAGTTTTTTCAATTAAAGGACAATCGAAACGGGATTCATTTTATTAAAAATCAGAGTCGCCACTTGGGATAATTTATGGCGTCCCAAGTTGCCGGTTTAAATCCCGAATCGAGGAGAGGATTGACTCTGTATATGTCTGCGAACACAGAAATCCGGGTAAGGAACTCTGTTAATCCGGGAGAAGGTGTTCGGCACTCCCGAGTTTCGTGGTTCTAGCACGGTCGCTTTGATCATACTTGGCTTACTAAAATTATTTAATTACTGATTTTAGAACCTATGTGCGTTTATTCCTTTCACCGCTTTTAATTAAGAACATTATCTTGAAACGGGTTACGCGTACGTATACCCATTTGTTTGGCGCGTCGAAAATCATGTCACGCGAACGTGTCCACAATTAACAACGCTTTATTATTATTAAGAAAGTTTGGCCAAAGTTGCGCGAACGCATACTCTGGTTTTGTTTTTAGAACCGTAATTATGTTATGCGAACGTATACACAATCACGATAGTATTTTAAGACGGCCCTAAAGGATATTCTACG